GGAATATAGACTTGATTTTGGACAGTAATACCTCGTATAGTGCGGCTTCGATCCGGATTTATTATAGTCCAGTTTGAAAATTGGCGGAATCCGTGATATTGATGGAATAGATTAACCGCACTATTCGAGGTTTTGTGTTACTATAAATTATTTCTATTTAAAAAATATGTAACAACTTCACAATGAACACACAAAACAAATGAATTGGGTCACGACAAAAAAAAATATACATTACCAAATATTGACGGTCGAATATTAAATTTCTGGGTAGAGCACAAAAAAAAATGTAGCAGGAAGTGTATTTAATGAAGTTGATATAACCGAAAACTTTAGCAAATGAGTAAATCTTTAATGAAGACGAAATGCGCAAATTGATTTCCAGAATTTAATTATAAAACCGCCATAAATATTGTATATAAATATATTTGTGCAAAGAGTTATTAGCAATTATTACGAAAAGTCTAATAACTATTTGTTACGTTTACTTCTTGTCTCTTACGTTCCATTGAATTGAAGCTTCAATAAATAAATCCAAGTTTGCGGAATTCAGTTCGACCGAGTTGCGTTTGTTTGAACTGTTGGCAAATGCATATCGAACGAAGAAAATGAAGAGACGCGATTTGAAATGTAAAAGAAAATATGACTGGAACATCATGGTTATTCCTTTGGCAACGCTGGTGGAGGAGTCCTCCTCCTATTTATTCCAATTTGGGTCACGTCAGTTATTCCCCGATGCTTATCTATGCGATGCAATACTTGAAATTCTGAATTGATCGATCCACTTATAAACAATTTAGCGCGTCGACGTGACGGAAATACTGCATAACATCATCCGCGATCAGATGGAAAACGGGACGAAGATATTTCTCGCACGATCCTCTTGCATTCTATGAACTCATTACATTACTGATTTATTTCATCTTCGTGTTACATCAACGTTAAATGCATTGCAAATACTTTTAATTTACATAATTTTAAATTAAATATTTTTCTACATTTTTCCTTGAGCAAGTAATAATATCAAGTTTATATAACATTATATTGCATGAAATAAATACATTTTTAACATTCATTAATAAAAAATGCATTCGAAAAACTTCTATTTTTATAAGAATTTTTATAATGTATATAATTTTCTTTTCTGAATTTACAAAAAGATTACATGTTTACTTCCAGAAATTGGATTGGATTTATTTCATTTTTGAGTTTGATTAACAAAAAAAAAAAATGAATTAGAAATACTTTTATTTCATATATAACTTTTTTACCCTTTTTCTACAGATTTTTTTATAATTGAAAGTTGATAATTTTCTGTTCCGAATTTACAAAAAAAAAAAATGTTTATTCGAGAAATTGAACTGATTTATTTCATTTTTGAGTTTGATTAACAAAAGCAAATGCATTAGAAATACTATTATTTCATAGGTTTCTACAGAAATTTTTATTTTTTTACAGAAATTTTTATAATTTTGTTTTCCAAATTCGCCAAAAAAATTACATGTTTACTTTGAGAAATTGAACTGCTTTCATTTTTGAGTTTGATTAACAAAAAAATGCATTAGAAATACTTTTGTTTCATATATCTATTTATTTCATACCTTTCTTGACTTTTTTCTACAGATTTTTTTATAATTTAATGTTTATAATTTTCTTTTACAAAAAATAAATAAATTATATATTTACTTCAAGAAATTTCATTAACCAAAAAATGCATTAAAAATACTTTTATTTAATATGTATTTATATTTCATACTCTTTTGCCTGTTTTCTAGAGTTTTTTTTATAATTCAATGTTTATAATTTTCTTTCCGAATATATAAAAAAAAAATATTACTTGTTTATTTCGAGAAATTTGACTGATTTATTTCATTTTTGTGTTTCATTAACAAAGAAAATGCATTAGAAAAAGTTTTATTTTATATTTTATACATTTTTGCCCTTTTCCCAGAGAGATTTTTCATCTTGAGAAATTGGACTTGATAGATAAATGTTTCATTAACAGAAAATGAATTACAAACACTTTTATTTACTATATTTCATACTTTTCCTATAAAGATTGCAAAAATATGTTTCTTTGGAATTAAATAACTTCGAGAAATCTGATTTATTTTAATTAATAGAAATTGTATTACAAATATTTAATGTTTATGTAAATATTTATACTTTTCAATAGACTTACAATTATTTTTAACAGCGAGTTTTATAATATAATGTTTATTACATTTTTGTTAAATAAATACTAATTTTAACATGTTTACTTCGAGAAATGGCAAACTGAGATAAACGAGGCAATAAGTAAGTAGTAACGTTGCGTTCTCAATAAAGAATGATACCTATCCATCTGTCACACTAAATACTTAATCAATACTACCGCGGACCAACAGGGACCGTTAGAGGTAAGAATCTACTGTTAGAATATTCCAACCAAAAAAGGAAATACCTCTCAATGAAAAAAAAAATAAAGAAATTAGTTTGTACACAAGAAATAACAGTAAAGTTATGATTATCCACGTATTTAATATTAACTTAATAGTAAAGAGTAAAATACAATTATTTCATTTTTTAATTATAAAAAGATACATTTCTTGGCAATACATCAGTACTTTGAAAATTACACTAATTAACTATAATGAATACAATACTAGCAAGTGAATACAGTGCAACAATTGTTTTCTCAAAATATTATTCTAAATGATTACATAATTCCATATTTTGTTAAGCATAAAAATAATTGTTTTCTGTACGTACTTCTACTATTATATTATATTATTAACAATATAATTAACAATAATATTTAGTTAACTAGAAACAATAGTAATTATTATAAACTCGTGGATGTCGGCTGCATCTATATGCAAAATAATGATCTCCTTTGTATTGTAAACACATTATTTAGAAACGAATTGCTAACTAAAGTTATTCACAGATTGAACTTTCTATAGATCAAATATGTATAGAAAATATTGCCTATTGATTATGATTTTAAATGAAAAGTGAATTGCTATTGATATTTCAATATGTAAAAAACATAGTATTTTTGCAATGAATATATTAGTATATTAATTTTTGGAAGCTATTACTAAAAAATGTAAACTGATCATTCAATTTTGTTTTAATTGTTTTATTACAAATTTATCAATTATATTATCAATTATATAAAAATTCATATTATTCTTGGTAACATATTGTTACTATAGGTATTGTAAATTATTTATAATAATCAGAAAAAATCTAATACTTTCTTGCTTTTGTTATTTAAGCAATTTTACGAAAATCTTAGTTTAAAACGTTATATATTCATAGCAAAATATACGAAATCTCGTTATAAAAAAAACGATTAAGACAATGTCAAAGTGACACAAGAAGGAGAAAAATTGTTTTATAAACTTATTTTTTTTTTTATATTTAGTTAATTAGTTAATTACATAATATATGTATTGATTATATAATTTTTGTGAATTGGTTGTATCTGAATTTAGTGAAAAAACAATGTAAATAAATAGGCTTGGAATTTAGTGAAAAAACAATGTAAATAAGTAGGCTTGGATTAATAGAATTGACGGTGAAATCACGTAAAATCTAGTGACATAACAGATGTTATTGAAACAAAATTAAAAGAGATTGGAGTTGTGTCAAAGTGACATAAGCAGTGGTATATTCTGTGATTGCGCTGTATTTTGGATTACGCAACGACGATTATTCTGCACGTAAACAATAAAAGAGGTTAACGAAGGACAATGTAAGTAAGCATTGCTTGGATTAGTACAATTGACGGTAATTATAATTGTCAATATGAAATCACGTAAAATCTAGTGACATTACAGATGTTATCGAAACAAAATTAAAAGAGATTGGAGTTGTGTCAAAGTGACATAAGCAGTGGTACATTCCGTGACTGCGCTATATTTCGAATTACGCGACGATGATTATTTTGCAAGTAAACTATAACAGATTGACGAAGGACAATGTAAGTAAGCATTGCTTGGAATAGTAGAATTGACGGTAATTATGATTGTTAATATGAAATCACGTAAAATCTAGTGACATTACAGATGTTATTGAAATAAAATAAAAAGCGATTGGAGTTGTATCAAAGTGACATAAGCAGTGGCACATTCTGAAGTTGCACATATTTTGGATTACGTCACAGCGATTATTCTGCACGTAAACAATAACAGGTTGACGAAGGACAATGTAAATAAGCATGCTTGGATTAGTAGAAGTTCTGTCAAAGTGACATAAGCAAGCAATGGCACATTCCGTGGTTGCGTTGTATTTCGGATTACGCGACGACGATTATTCTGCACGTAAACAAAAACAGGTTGACGGCTCGGAATCGATCTGCCAGGAAGACGTCCAGGCGTGCGGACACGAACCAATAAAACGTACACGGCTCGAAGTAATATTTGAAAATGGCAATTGGGGTTGTTGTCTAATCCGTCACGCAGAGCGTGGGCGTGAGTGCAACGTGTGTATATGTATATACAGAAGAGAGATGGAGGATATCCAGTTTGTATCGGAATTGGATGAATTATGCAGCAACAAGCAAGGAGCTGACCGAGGGACGCTCGAATAGAAACGTATAACTATGTAGTGTGCGTTACGTATGTATGTATGGATGTGTCTGGACTCCTCGGAAGGATCGTTTATGTAACATGTTGGTGGATGGTGATGGAGGGTCTGGATGGAGGTGGGAGAAGTAGTAGGCGGTGGTGAATGAGAAAGGAGGATGATGAAGATCATGATGATGATGATGATGGTAATGATTAGGAGGATCGAGGAGGTGAGGAGATGATATTGGGAAGGCGAAACGCGTCACGGGAATCAATGCATTTTATATGAGGGATGGCATCGGCGGTATATTGGTATTGGTGTGTACAACAAGTGTACGTAGTATATATCCAGACTCTCTGTTGTAGAGAGAAAGAGGAACAGTTCGATGATGGTGCGCACGCAGTCGCCCGGACCTCCGTACCTACTTGTTACACCGGAGTTTCCCCTGGTCCGGGCCGGGTCTCGCTCCGGGTGGTGAGATGTGCGTGTAGTGACTGCCACCAGTTGATTATAAAGGACGATTCCGTCTCTACTCAATCCAGGACAATCCAGGTAACGTACTCTTTCTTTTCTACTCGTTTTACCACATTGCAAAACAACTTACACCTAACAATTGCTTAACCAAAACCCATGAACAATCTCAACAATAACAATAAATTAAAATTTACCAACAATTAAACTTAATAATTCTTGGAATAAAAATATACTTTGCTTCAACCAAGTGTAAATATAAAATATTCTTCATATTGCAACCATTTACATTTAAAGTATACTCCATTTAATTTATCTTTTACTGAATTTTTTTTAAGTTTTCCCTCAATAAATGCGCATTTAGTTTTTTTTTAATTTAAAGTACAACCATTATTAGCGGAATTATATATTGAGAAGAAACTATATTCTTTAAAGTACAGAATTTATTTAAATTTTTTATCAATTCAATATGAATTTTTCACAAATTTTTAAATCTGTAATATATAAAAGTGTCCTATTTATTTATAATTTATCAAATATTAATGATTTTCTCATAATCCTTAAATATCAAATATATTTCTACAATATATTTACTAGATTCATTTTTTTTTATTACAAAATATTTTTTTTACATAAATTGCTATGAAAATATTATAATATTTTACAAATTTTGATATATTGAAATGTTTCTCTCTAAAAATTTACTTGGTTAAGTTATTTTTAATGCAATTTACACTTGCTTTTGATTATAATATTTAAAGAATAATTATTTTTTTTGATATACGATAATCAAAATTTGCTATAATTTACATTAAAACAAATATTTTCATTGCAAATCTCATTTTTCAATTAAATTTACAAGATTGTTATTTATTATTTTTTAAAATTCAAACAAAATTACAAGAATTTTAAAATCACATATTAACATTGGAATCATGTGTTTTCAATATAAATTTCGAATTATTCGTTTCTCTTTACAAAATTTGGGCTGGATTATGAAATTCAATTTTGAATTAAATATTAATTTAATTTTTGTCTCTTTCATTGAGTTTTCATATATTTAAATCGTGAGATTTTTAACAAAAAATATTTATAAATATACAAAAATTTTGAAATTTTAACTTTATTACGATTTAATATTAATCTCTAATAAAAATATTGTTTTTCACGTATTTCTAAATAATACAAAAAAACGGAGGGAATTATTAACAGTATTATTTTTTCAATCTATTCATTTATTTTACAGTATTTTACATTAAAATATATTTTTAGTTTGATCTAAAAATTACTAAATATGTATATAAACATTATAATTTGAATATTTTTCTACATCTAAATTAATATAATTTCTAATGAATTCAAATTTTTGATCTAAATAAATGTATTTGAAAATAATTCCATAAACTTTTTAATTGTTTAATTTTTTTGCCGTACATCTCTTCCAACTTTTAATTAATTTATAAGTAGATTTTGAAAACAGATGTTGATTTTCTGTAAAAATACACATGATGTGTATATATATTAACATAATTAATATAATGTCATAAAAATTTTGAATTTATACCTTTTACTACAAAAAAAAATCAAGTTTACTTTTTCTGTTAATTTACAAAACACCTGTTTTTCTTATGTATAATCTAATCTTTATATTAAGGTTTCATAAAAAAAAAATATTTGAAGAAAAAATCTTATATAATAACTTCTTTTATAGCTAGAAACAACGTTCATTAAAATTGAATATGAAAGGATTTCATTTCACGTTATTATCAAATATTACAATGCGGTCGAAGCGTTTCTCTCAATAAATTTACGAATGGCCGATTCTATTTCGTTCAATTTTTCATTCTGTTCGAACTGGGTCAGCGTTTTCAAGTAGCTGCGGGATTTGATGTTCCAGTGGTGGTGGAAGAGGTTTAATATATGAATAGTTTTCGTTATTCGAGTGTGGCTGAAAGTTCATTTTTACCAATGATAATTCCGTCTGGCTTTTATATCCTTTCATGAAAAATGTCAGCATTTCAAATACAAAAAAGAAGCTTTCATCCAGTAAATTCTATAGCAAATATTTATTATAATATATATATATTTTAATATAAAAAAAATATTTTAATAAAAAAATATGTGAAATAATGGTAGATTTGTTGTGATTTGTGGAATAAAAGTTTTGTTTTATAAATAAGTTATACATACTTACTACATAATAAGTAATCAATAAAGGTTTATTTCGTTATAGGATTACGTCTCGCAAAGAGTTTTAGTATGCCGTTGGTTTCTATAACAATTCATAAATCAATACTTCAATCAAAACAGTTTTTCTTTGTTGCTATTCGAAATAACTAATTTTATAGTCTTTCCTTTACGTTCTTATATAGTTTCTAAACTAGACTTTGTGAATATGCGTATTTATCCTGATTATCTTATTTATCTAATTCATGTACAGTAAAGATAATCAATGTCATTCATAATCTATTTATTTTATATATAAAATATGGGTGAGTAAATAGGTCATAACGATTAGTTCCGAGTCGTTTGATGCATTTTCACCAACTAAAAACGAATTAATAAAGCTTATACGAATCAATTGAATATTTTTGTGTAGCAATGACCCAATTTGCAAAGCTTATCATATTCATTTATTTACAGCTTTGGAAATTCATATCATATTTTCAAATGTTTTTTCAATATTAAATTGCTTGTTTTATTTCCGTTGATTAATTTTTATTAATTATCTTCTATTTACTTGTGTAGTTAAATTTCGATTTTTTCTTAGATTTTGAATTTAGTCTTGTATTGTTTATTTCAATAGGCTTTGAATGAAAATTAAACAATCCCGACCGAAGAGATTTTTTTTCTCTGTTTACTTCTCTTTTTGTTCTCATCCTCATCGACGGTGGGCTTTATGAGAAAATTAGAAATTTAATACTTCCCAAAAGAGAGTCGCCTTTCTCCCTGATTATAATTCTTGTTTATTTTTATTTTCCTCCTCGCTCCTGATGAATTTAATTAAAATCTATTTTTCGCGAATAACTCGAGGCAATGAAACATGGTTGAAGGTGAAAGATGCTGCTGCCTGTACACGATATGCAGCGGAAAGGATGAAGATGAGGAGATGTGCAGAAAAAAAAATGTATATATATATATAAACGGATCGCATCCATAAATCGTTTTACCCGTGACCCACTTCTGTAAATTGAACGTGGATTTCTGAAGTTCACTTCATTTTGTCGTTCTATCTGTAATGTCATGAAGTACACGAAATTCAATACATTTCCAATTACGGTTTCCTCCTACTGCTACTTCCACTTTTTTTTTTATTCTTGTTTCCTTCCCTTTTCATTTCCCACTGTTTGCTTACCTTATGCACACGTTGAATTTAATCTACCATAATTAAAAAAAAAACTGTCATGTATTTGCGTTCAGTTATCAATGTTAATAAGAAATATATTGATTTTTATTATATCAAGGATTAGTAAATATATGTACACGTTTAGATATTGACATATTTAATTCATTTTAACCCTTTTCAGCCCATTTTTTTTTCAATTTTTGTTTTGTTTTATTCAAATCTTTAATCATAAGAAACATTTTACCTTATTTCATTTCATTATTAAAACATTTCCTACTGTTAAAAATACATCTATCTTCAATTCACATTAGTTGCTTCCAACAGTTTTAATCGTCGAAAGGAAAGGTTTAACATTAATAATTTGGATAATTAGGGTCCATTAGCAAATTATATCATCATATAGACATTTTAACACTAAAGCTACCGACTTTTTTTTTGTATACCGTGTCCGGTCACAATGACCGATCTTTAATAATTGTTTTTAGAATTAAACGTAAATAATAGTCAATTTGTTACTGAATGAATTAGTAAATGAACAACTTACATAAAAAATCGTTTCAAACTTAATTCTATATAATTTCAATTAGTAATAAGTAATAGACAAATATGTAAAAGTTTTACAAAAATTTGAAAACGGTCAAATAGATTGTTAAGATAAAAAGTAATTTATGGATGGATATATTTCTTATATGGTCCCTGCTAGACAATAGTGACACCCCCCACAGACTAAAGAGACACAACACCCTAGACCTCCCCTTTAGAAACTAAATCAAAGTTTGTTTTCTTGTGCTGTATGATTATCTTTTAAGTTATTGAATTATTTTTTTTAGTTAAATTTATATTTATTTGTTGGAAGGTTTCCGATCTTATTTAATTTTTTCTGTTTTTATTTTATTTTCTTTGTCTTACGTGAATGAGACTGAGTTGTGAATGAGAAAGAAAAGATTATATTTAAGTTTATAAATTAACTATATAATATTTTAAAAAATAACGTTATGAAATTTATTAATTTGTTTTTTAATGTTGTGAAGTACAGTCAATTCAGTACACTTTTGCTTCTATTTCAATGCCACAATTTTCTTGTATTAAACTTCAATTTGTCTTTGATCTTATAGAAATGAACAATTATAACAAAAATTATAAAAAAAAACGTTTATTTTGTTTGAGTATACAATGAGTATTTAGAAGATATTTATCGTATAACAAAATTTTGATTAGCTCATAAAGAAATAAATATGTTTAGAAATATTTGTACTAAAGTTTCTTAATATTATTTAAGTCTTTGAAAGGCCAGAAATTTCTAAATTTTTAGACCCAACTGGGGCCAGACAAAAAAATTTATTTATAACAATAAAAATTGATATACATAAAGAAAATCAGTCTTTGTATAGTTTTAATGAATTTACTGATTAGAAGGTGTTAATTTCTCTTTTCTGGACATTTTCTAGAAAATTAAGATACTCTTAAAAAGATGATTCAATGCGTGCACTACCAACCTTGAAAGAGTTAAGCTTATAAATGTATTCTATATATTTTTATTAGATTACATATTTTAATTCTTTCTTAGTTTTTCTATGAATATTGTTGAAACTAAATGAAATTGAGTAATATGTAATATATATTGTTAATTTTCGATTAAATCTTTATTCGCTGAAATTTTGAATTAAAATAATTCGTAAAAATTAGATATTTGATTTAAATAAGTTTTTAATTAAGCTACTGTGCATATTTTTTA